CGCTACTGGACCAACCCGGCAGCACTCCAGCTGCTCTGCTGCAGGCGTCCCCGATTCAGACCCCACCCCAGGCCCCTCATAGCCCCCCCTTCTGATAGTCCAGCATATCTGATAATCCGGCACCCCCTGGGTCCTAAAGGTGCCGGATTATCGGAAGTTTACTGTAGCAAAGAGGATTGGTTATTTCATATGCAGAATTTTGCATTTCTACTGTCTATCTATTTACCAGTACTGACCCTAGAATTTACTACTATTAAAGGATATGGTTTTTGAAGAATGCCAGGGAAGTCCTTGGAACAATTAGTAGTGAAAGCTCTCAAATATATTTTGGACTAATTTCTAGATAAAGGAAATCTTAAGTCCCAAATCTGGGTTATCCCACCTACAAAATAGGACACGTCTAACCTTCAAATTGCTAAAAATGCAACTATCAAATTTTATTCAGCATTTATTCTGACTATTACTATTAATTTCAGGAAAATGCACTCTGGGATTTTACTTGTCAAGTAAAAGTGACAGAATGAGACAATTTAGCTAAGCTGCTTAATTTAAGCCATTCAAATCATGATATTTTAGCATAAAAAAGTCAATTCTAGCATTTTATATTATTATTTCTTTTTGAAAAAGAAGCAATCTTTCTGCTGATTACAAGTATTTTAAAAACCATTTGACTAATACAATGAGCTTTGTGACTGTTGGTGGCCACATGGTTTAGGGGAAGACATTTCCTATTCTGTTTCCAAGATTAACTCTTCTCCTAATTTGCCTGTCTTTCCCTTTTTAGCACATTTCCTTGTACAGTATCTTAGTTCATTATACATGTGTTAAAAGCTATATTCCAGCCAGATGTTCAGTAATGCAGACTCACTTAACATTTACATTTCATTAGGTGTGTTCAGGAAAACACAACTTCCTTTTCTAACCCAGTATGGACATTTAAACACAGGAAGAAACTTTTGGCTGTGTAATGATTTAGAAAATCATATTATTTTGACAATAGCAGCCAAAGAAAAATATTTATATGCCCTT